TCCAGGTGTATCTTGTGAAGGCATCTATGAATGAGATATAATAAGAGTAGCCATCAAAAGACAATATGGGAGCTGGACCCCACAAATCAGTGAATATTAATTCAAAAGGTGAGTGAAATTGAGTGGTAGATGTATAAGAAGGTAATCTGTGTGCTTTGCCAAGACAACAAGCAGAACAAAACTCAACATGATTTTTATTAATTCCAGAAAGATTACAATGTTTGAGTACAGACTTTAGAGCCTCAAGATGAGGGTGTCCTAGTCTTAGGTGCCACACATTACAATCAACAGACTTATTACATGACTGAGAGTTATTACAAGTAGCTAAACAGGATGACATGTTGACAAACTGGGAACTACTTGAAACTGGACTTGACTGAGATGAATTCTTCTTATTGATATCAAGAGTACAGTACATGTATTTATAGTCTTTGAGACTTTAACAAACTGTAACCGACTTGAACTAATATAACAAACTAATTAGTACAAATCTGCTATAGTCTATGTACAGTATTCCTAACACTTTTTAAGATCCAAAGATGACCCAAATGTCCCCCACAAGCTGAGTCATGAAACTCTTTTGAGATAAGGGATATTCTAGGTGATCCTTTCGGTATTACCAATCTGCCCTTGAAGTATAGCAGTCCTTTTCTCAAGCTGAGCCCGGCATGTAAATCTGGCTGACCCAGAAGATCCTGGATAAGTTTCTGGCACCGAACATCCTTCAACAATTCCTCTTCTAAGTTCTAACTCTTCCCACTCTTGGGAAATCACCACTGATAATGAGTTTAAGCAACCCTTTCTGGATAAAGCATCAACCCTTACTTATATTTAATTATAAAATTATATACCATCAATTTAGAAAGCCAATTCTATTGGTCTTCCCCTAGTAACCTTTCTTCGGTGAGGAACTTCAAACTTTTTTTGATCAGTATGCACTTTTTTTATCAGTATGCACTTCGATAACAAATGTCTTGTCAAAATCCCGGGTAGCCAAACTGGAAAGGATGCCATGGCTACTTTTAATTTTTCAAATGCTGCTACCGCTTCAGGACTCCATTGAAACCCATCCTTCTTAATCATATTTGTTAGAGGAGTAGCAATTTTGTTGTATCCTTTAACAAATCGTCTATAATATCCCGTTAACCCCAGAAAGCCTCTCAGTTCTTTTAATTTTTTGGTAGTGGCCAACCTTGAATCTTGCTAGGATCTGCCTTCACCCCTTGCCCAAATATACTATGCCCCAGGTACACCAATTGAGTCTGCCCAAACCTGCATTTTTTTTGTTAACCACCAACTGATTTTCTCCCAAAGTCTGAAGAATCAGTCGTAGGTGCGTTTTATGTTCCTCTGGACTCCTACTGTAAATCAGAATGTCATCGAAAAATAGCAGCACAAACTTCCTTAAATAAGCTTTCATAACTTGATTCATTAGAGACTGAAAAGTAGATGGAGCATTCGTTAAACCAAAAGGCATTACTAGGTATTCATAATGCCCCTCGTGAATTCTAAAAGCTGTTTTGTGAATGTCAGCCTCTTTCATGCGGATCTCATGATAACCGGACTTAAGATCCAATTTTGGAAGATCTGGGCATGTCCCAGCTCATCTAAAAGCTCCTCAATGACCCATACTGGGAACTTATCAAGAATGGTGATCTTGTTCAAAGCCGGTATTCTCCACGGCATCTCCATCCTCCCTCCTTCTTTGCCATGATTATTGGACTGCTATAGGGGCTGGTACTTGGTCTGATAATTCCCGTCTTTAGCACCCTCTTTTATATTGATGGCGTAATCACAAGCACTGTTTGGTGGTAAACCTTGAGGAGCCTAGAAAACTGTAGGAAACTCTCAGATTATGTCTTCCCATTCCTGCCCAACTTCTTTCCTTCAGAAGCTAACTCTTCACAATGAATGAAGTAACCCTCTCCCTTGTCCTTCAGGGCTTTCATTAAGCTTTTCCAGGAGGCTGCTGCCCATCAACTCCCCACTGAATAGTTAATTGTTTGAAATCAGCTTCTACTTTTCCGAAACTAGCTAGCCACTCCATTCCCAATATCATATCGGTTTCTCCTTGGTCCAAGATATAAAAATCATGTTCAATCCATAAGCCTTGAATTCTAACTGGAAGCTTCTCACACTTCCCTTGAGTGTAGATATTTTCTCCATTGCCCATTTCAACTTTGAACTTAGAAGTCTGACTGAAAGGAAATTTCAAAGTCGCAAAGACCCTAATAGAAATAAAATTGTGTGTTGCACATGAGTCAATAAGTACGATTACAGGTTTTCCCTTCAATAGCCCTTTAACCTTGAAAGTGCCACGAACCGGAATGCCTTCCTTGCTCAATGTCTTCCTTGCTCAGAATTGTCAACTGCATAGTTTTCAATTCTTCTGCTGGACTCTCCTCTTCATCCACTGATCTTGACTCCCCCTCTTCTTCAGATGCCTCTTCATCCACTGATCTTGACTCCCCCTCTTCTTCAGATGCCTCTTGAGTTTCCAATAACACCATTTGGTAATTCTTAATTGAACATCGGTGTTCTTTATTCCACTTATCCCCACATTTAAAACAGAAACCTCTTCTAGTTCGATCTTGTAGCTCAGCTTCAGTGAGTTTTGGCCCTCCCTTCCAAAAGCGTAGGGAGACCACTGGAATTTTCATTTTGAACTTCTGAATTATCCTTCACCCGAAGAGGAATCTTTGGGGTCATAAATTTCCCTGGAATTCCTCCTGCGTCATACTGTCCCTTGGATGGGTTCACTCCCTTATTAATCCATCCTCTTCAATCTACTTCCTTGTTCTGTCCCCCTTTTAAAGTCAAGTTATTCTGTTCAACTAGCAAGGCCTTGTCCATAAGCTCCGTTAACCCACTGGTTTGGCATAATTTCAGTTCCGCGCTAATATCCTCTCGGAGACCATTGAGAAATACTCCTTTTAACATCTCTTGGTCAGCAAGTTTGAGAGGAGCGAAAACCATCTCAAAGAGGTCCCTGTACTCCATTACCGATGTTGTTTGCTTAATACTGAGCATAGGGCCAAAAGGGTTTTGTACCAAGGCCAGATGGAAACGCCTCTTTGAAGTTAACCCAAGAATGGTCATCTGTATGTTCCTCCCACCATTGATACCAGTTCAAAGCTTTATCATCCATGGCAATCAAGACTACCTCCACCTTGTCATTCTCCGACACTTGATAACGACCCGGATCAGCCATCCGTGAGCATCGTCACCGCTAAATAGTGGTAAATCCAGCTTCCTACCTGAGTAAACACATACATCGTTCCTCGTATTATGAGGAGTCCGTGAAACGGAACAAGATTCATGTGGCTCACCTCTAGAGCGGGATGCATTCACACTACCCGACGGCTGGCGTTTGCGCGGAGTCGTAGAACGTCCTCGAGTTCTCCTGCGACTGCCTTGAGCTTCGAGACTTTGCATCATCTCTGATAGTGTATGCATCCGTTCGTCCATCATTGATAGCATCTTTGTGCGCATATCTGCCATGGACCGCTCAAAAGATTTCTCCAGATTATATATCCTGTGCTCCATGTTTGATCGAGTGCAGACCATACACATGTGCAGTGATCGGGCTCTGATACCAATGATAGAACACAGTACCAGAAGACATTCCACCTCAAAATTGATGGATTTATTGATAAGATTCAATATCAATGTCGGGGAACAAAGAAAAATAAAAGAAGACGATTGCGGAATAAAAATGAGATCTTTCGAGAGGATCTCGCTCTCCCAGTTCTAAATCGACTCCCAGATAGCCGCCCCCTTCCCTCTTCCAATTGTTTTTATTCATTGCTTCTCTCCCTTGCGACTATTCTTCTCAAGACAGTCCGCTATTTTCTGCTGTCTCTTCCCTTCCCCGGTCTTTTACCTTCTTGCCCCTTCTTTTAAAATTTTTAGAAAAAATCCCTATTGGGATTTATTTTGAATAAAGCAATGCTCGTATCAAACCCCTACCCTAACCTACCCGAGGGTCGAGCTAGGGGTAGGGATAGGGGTAAGGGGTACAGGTCAAGTAGGGGGTAGGGTGAGGGTAAGGAGTAGGAGCTAGGGGCAGTCAGGTATGCGTGCAGGGTGGTAGGGGGTAGGCCCCCACGTATTGTACTTGTGTACATGAATGTTTGTGTGTCTATATATGTATAGGGTTATTTTGGACATTTTAATGTGAAACGGTGTTTTAAATTCAGTGAAGTAAACTGAGCTTATAACATTGCTTATTTTACGAGCCGCTTATTAACCCGTGAAGTAAACGTGCTCACAATAGTTCCACTAAAGATAATGATGAAAACGGCTTCTCATTGATAGGAAAATTTTACTCATAAACTAACCCCTGCAATTGATAATATGGCTCATGCCCATGTCATGTTGGATGATGCATTTAAGTAAGATGTTTTTGTTGGGTAAGCTTAGTGGGTATACTCCTGCAATTTGCTGCTAAAGAACAGACGAGTCGAAGGACACAAGAGTCATGGGCCATCAAACATACATGATATGATTGATGGGGATAGTCCTCATATAGGAGTAAAAACGCTACAAAATTCCAAAATAGAATTGTCATGTTTTTATTCCCTAAATAGGAGTAATTACCGTTAAGCTTAGAAAATATTGTCATGTTTAAAGTCTAGTACTGCCAAAACATGTCAGTAATTACTCCTATTTAGGGAATAAAAACATGATAGTCCTATTTTAGAATGCACAAACGTTTTTACTCCTATATCGGGCAATTTCTCTATGATTGAATCTTTACATCTTTAAAGAAACACATGTTACTGATAGACATTGGATATATTGATTGTTATTTAAGAGTTCACACTTCTAACGATGTTTTAACCATACATAAAATAAAAATGTCGAGATTGGCAAATGGCAGACTCAAAGAATCTTGAATAAATGAAAATGCTTATTTAGCAACTTATACCTTACTCAAACATCACTATTACTTTAGAGTCAAATTGAATAATAAACAAGATATGTTCCATAGTTCTGACCTTGTACGAACATTGTCGAGTAGCCATTCCCTCTCCACAGTGGGATCACAAAATACCGGCTGCAAATGATATATGCTCACAAACGAGAGAGAAAACGTAATAAGTTTATATTGAGTACAGATGGCATTGGGGTGTTGGGGTTGGTTATGCATATAGCCAAACCCACCCCACTAGGTAATTTTCCCAACCTATATCCGCCCGTTACCCAACAGGTAATTTTTATCCAACCATAGCAGCACAATAGGTAACGAGTATAACCGGGAATCACCATTCACTTAAAGTGTCATTGATTTTTAATATAAAAGTCAATGTTTTAAAAGACGGAAAATTACATCACCTAGGCAATTCTAAACGTGAGACGCCACTTAAAAGCCTCATGCACTTATAAAAAGAAGAACGTGACCCAAATTATTTTAATCTTAAACATACTTAAAGTCTAAAAATTTACTAAACAAGACAAACCCATTAATAACCAAATGGGACCCTTAAACTCTATTATTGGACCCAAAGAGGTGAGTTCTCAAAGGAGATCCTTGTTTATATACATTGTAGCAAGGACATCAGTGGCATAGCCAAAAACAAATAATTGAAAGGAATGAAATAAAAAATAAAACTAAAAACATTCAGGGCGAGTAATGGGCGGATAATGGTGCGGGCATGTAAAAAACATACATTAAGCGTATATGATCAATATTAAGCGGAGGAGTTCAGTGTGTATATCTATAGGATCAGTCACAGTTATCATCCCTTATTGAGCACAAAGAGAAGGATACATTACCAATTTTGAGATCTTTGCTCCAAAAGATGGTATAAACTTGCTTTCATTGATGCACCAATATGACCTCTTCCCAAGTGGTACTGGTATAGCATAACACAGTTGATAAAGGGACACAAAGAGATTATTGGTGGATATAAAACGTCTTAAAATACAACAGTGGATAGCTTTCTTCATCAAAACGCAGTAATAATTGCTTAGAGGTGTAACAATAAAGACAAGCCATCAAAGAGCACAACCAAAACATCATTGGTTGATCACAAACTACAGCATTACACAGAAAGTAGGAAACTTACATCACTCCATATATCAGAAAGTTCCTCAGCAGATTTGGTCTTTGCCCTCTCGACGTCCATAATTGAGTCAAGTGGCTTCGGATGCAATGGATTGAACCCAGTGGCGAATCTTGATGTTCTACAGAAACCAAGCGAACTCCATTTCAAAAATTCTCCAGGAATGGCCTTTTTCTGCAAGATATAGGAATTTTCTCGGAGAATTGAAATAGAACGACACTGTTTTGCCGCCGTGGATTTAGAAGAAGAAGCATAAGCACAAAAGTAAGGTGCAGATGAACGGGATAGCCTCGCAATCCTTACTAACCGCTGCATTACGAATCCTGAAGACATGATGGAATTATCAGAAACCAGAAGTCTAATAATTGACATTTGATTGTTCCTGCTCTCCCACGACACTTCCGGCCCGTTTGGATCGAGCGTTGAGGAGCAGCGCATTCATAAATGGTGGGAAAGTTCCTGAAATGGGACTAAAAAAAGTTTGAAAATTCCAAAATAGGACTGTCATGTTTTTATTCCCAAAATAGGACTAATTACTGCCAAATTTGGAAAATACTGCCATGTTTGAAGTCTGCTACTGCCAAAACATGACAGTAATTAGTCCTATTTTGGGAATAAAAACAGGGAAGTCCTATTTTGGAATTTCCAAACTTTTTTAGTCCCATTTTGGGTAATATCTCTTCATAAATCCGTTCAAACTTGAGGAGCAGTGATATCAGAAGCTGTTTTCGGTTTTCAAATTTTATAGATCCTGTTTTCGGTCTGGTTAAAAACCGAATTGTTCCGGTTTGAATCGGATTTAAACCGATTTTTGCTATATTTTTAATACATTAATTGAGTATTAATATAAAATAGTTATAGAATAACAAAAAATAGTAATAAAAATATAAATAGTAATTGTTTTAATGTTTTGTTGTACTATATATTGTCAATTTGTCATAATGTTTTATTCATCTATTTAGGTGTTTTTATTTAAATATTACTCGTACTAATTTTGAATCAATTACCCAAAAATTGACCACTTTTAAAAATGGGCAAAAAAGTGATCAAGAAGGTCATATATGTGGAATTAGAAAACATGATGTCACTGCAAAAATTTTGTCACTGTGTTCGCTTTTTTTGTAACTACAACCATCACCCATGTCACTACAACCACCGCCCGTGTCACTGTAGTCACCGCTCGTGTCACTGTAGCCACCGCCTATGTCACTATGATCGTTTCGTTTAGTGATGCTATTAGATTTTATGTCACTGACTCTATGTCACTTTTGAATATCACTGTCAGTTTTTATGTCACTGTGATTTTTTGGTTTCACTAAAAATTTGTCACTAAAGAGTTTATATGTCACTTCATTGTCTCTCTCTGAAGATTGTCAACCTCAACCCCACGCTCCAACAACCCCCAACCCCACTTCCCTAACTTGTTTCGTCAAATTCCCGACCAGCCCATGCCCTAGCCGCATAGCCCCACCCTAGCAAGCTCCGTGGCAGTCCTCGACCATCCATGACCGCCGCTACTTGCCCCTAGCCCCACGGCCCTAGCTCTAGCCACTCACCACCGCAGATCTGGAGATGACGACAATTGAAAATCACTCGTTTGACCTCGCCTTCCATGTTGCCATCGATCAATCAGTTAGAAAATAGAAGCAAAGGAGAGGTAGATGGCGATGCAAGTGAACGATGTTGGTGAACGGCGAGATCCACGGCGGCGAAGGGACAGCGCGACTGTTTTTTCAGCGGCGGCGACTTTCAAGCAACCTGTCACCTCCGCTGCATCTTTGTCCTTTGTTGTTGGAAGCTTAATTGGAGGGAAGATGAACAGGGTGGGAGATGGAGAGATTCGGGCGAACAGTTTTGGAGAAGAGAGAATTGGGCGGAAAGTTTTGGAGAAGGAGAGATTTGGGCGGCCGAACAAGTTACGGAATTTTGGGACTTTTCAAACTCACTTTTTTGTCTTTGGCTAAACTAGTCACATTTTTTTCCAATGAAACTCTACAAGTAATATTAAGGCCATTATTTCATCTATTTATTCTTATTTTTTTATAAAAGTATTAACTAATATCTACTATTCTACACTCCAATTGCTTCAATCTTTGCGCTCTAAGACTAATAAAAGTAATTAAATAAATAATAATAGTAATAGTAATATTACTAGTCACAAATACCCTTATTTTTATTAAACAAATAAGTTGTAATTGCTAGTAAATTTAGTTAATAATTTAGAAACCGGTTTTCCGGTCCGGTTTTGGTTTTGAACCGGTTAAACCGGTTCGTTTCCGGTTCAAACCCGGTATATATCCGGTATGTTTTTCGGTTTCTATTTTCTTGCAAATCCGGTTCGGTCCGGTTTTGGACCGGTGCACACCCCTATTAGTATTTTGAGGTCTTGGACAATTATTAATCTTCTCATTTACCCTAAATACATAATTGAGTGTTTTGGAATCCTTAGAAGTGCTTTCACCCAAGCACTCCATCCAAACATGCCCTTAGGAGTGTTTCCATCTGCTTCTTAAAACTGTTTTATCAAGGAGCACAAACAAATATTTGAGTGTTTCGGTGAAAGCACTTCTAAGGATTCCAAAATACTTTAGAAGCAATTTTTTAGAAGTCAAGAGAGGGACCAACTTCTTAAAACTGATTCTGATTCTACTTTTGCTTCGGAAAAAAGGTAGAAACAGAATCAATTTCAAACACTCCTTACTGCATCCCAAATACATTGTCTTTGGGCATGGGGATTTAACTTTTTGGAACAATGATACATGAGCAGGTGGTGAATGTATTAAGATGTTTTTAATTGGAATGAAACTTTCTGATCCGATTTAATATGATTTAATTTGATCTAGTGTGGTTTGATTTGATCTGAACTAGACTGATAAATGTTTGGTTTCTGTGTATTTTATAAGACCATCTTTAATGATACAATGTGCACGATGCGGGGCACATGTGACATGAGAGAGATAGACACAAAAGATTAAATTTATGACATTTCACTCTTTTTCTTTTCATAATCTTATGTGTTTTTAGTAAGTTTTTCTCAATAATGTCATTCACAATGTCTACATCTAGACATTGTTCTTGACATTGTATAGAAAACTTACCAAAAACATATAAGACCGTTCAAATAAGGAGAGAGAAATTTTATTTTTTGTTTTCTAATTGGCTATCTCTCATGCAACGTATGCACAGTTCACATGTTTGCCATCAAAGTAGGTTGCATATTTTGATGCAATGTAAAGGTATTTTTACTGCAAAATAGTCGAATCCAATGGCTGAGATTCATTCTCACTTCTCACCTAAAGGGTTCTTCTCACTTGAACCTTACCCTACACACACACACACACATACAGAGAAAGAGAGAGTCTTGTTCCTATCAGGAGCTCCTGAAGAGAAGCTCTGTGCGGACAAGACCATCAGAGGGTCTTCCCGGTGGAATTGTTTTGATGAATTTTTTTGAGCATGTTCTCCTGACAGAATGCGCAATATGTTTCCAGAATTTATTTGACTGCCTTCCTGATCGAATTTTGAGCTGAAATTTGGTATGGATAAACTAGACTTGATGGAGAACACGCTCAAAAAAATTCATCAAAACAATTCCACCGAGAAGACCCTCTGATGGTCTTGTCCGCACGGGACTTCTCTTCAGGAGCTATGTATATGAACTGCCATATATATATATATATATATATATATATATATATATATGTATGTATGTATGTATACAATATATTATAATATATATAATATACTATATATATATATATGTGTATATAGATAATATATATATATATATATATATATATATATCGAGAGAGAGAGTATGGAACAAATAAAAAGTGCTTCCTAGGTGAAGAAAAAGAACTAATCTTGGCCATTGATGTGAAAAATGGATGGAAAAGATCAATTTTGAGGTAGGAAATGCGGTGACATATTTGTAATTATGGAGAACTTTTATTGAAAATATTGTGACAAATGTGCATTTGAATAGTCAAAAAGTGCACACGTAGAGCACAAAAGTGTTATACGGTACAAAATAAAAAATGCACAAGCTGTAAAATTTTAACAATCTTTTTTGACACGCATGAGTGCACCTTTAATCAATAATTATCCACTTTATAGTATAAACGTTTGCACATTTTTTTAAATCATCTCTTGTGTTTAAAGTTCATCTAATCCATCCATTTTCAAGTGATGAAAGGCCAAGATTTATTCTCACTTTTCATGGGAAGACTACTTTGTACTTGAACCTTCCCCTATATATATATATATATATTGAATAGAGATCAAATACAAACCATGTTTAATTTATAAAGTACAAACTTATCTTGGCCATCCGATGAGTTGATCTAAAGGATATAAAGGCAAGGTGGCATTTTTGTAATAAAACCTAACTTTTCTAGGGTGCAACTCGTTGAACGTTAATATGCAAATGCTATTTTATGACAATATAATATGCAACACTTCGAACCTCAATATGTAATGCAAATAACGTCAAGGTGCATCATGCAAACATTTGCACAATAAGCACAGTTTGTACTTGATCTTTCCCCCATATATATATATATGGGGTAAGGTTCAAGTGAGAAGAACTCTTTAGGTGAAAAATGAGAATGAATCTCAGCCATTGGATTCGACTAAGTTGCAGTAAAAGACACTTCATGATGCACTGAAATATGCAATCTAGCACGGTGGCATTTCTGTAAATACTTTTGAAAAATTCGCATTAGACTTGTCTATTACAACATGAAGCTATTTTGGTGCAACGCCGTCAAATAGTGCAACATGAAACAATTTTAGTGCAACATTGCAAAATTTAAATATTACTACAACATAAAGCCATTTTTAGTGCAACTTCGTAAATCTAATGGCTGGGATTCATTCTCATTTCTCACATTAGATGCATTTTTCACTTGAACCAATATATATATATATATATATATAGAGAAATATTCCTGTCCGGACGTCCGGACAGGAACCGCCGTACGGACCGCGGCGTTTGGCCGCCTTCCCGGTGGAATTTTTTGATGAAATTTTTATGGCATGTTCTCCATCAAGTCTAGTTTATCCACAAAAAAAATCAGCTAAAAACTCAATCGGGAAGGTCGTCAAATGATTTTTTCAAGTTAACTGGTCCGGAATATGTATTTTCCGGACCAGTTAACTTGCAAAAATCATTTGACGACCTTCCCGATTGAGTTTTTGGCTGAATTTTTTTGTGGATAAACTAGACTTGATGGAGAACATCCCATAAAAATTTCATCAAAAAAAGCCACCGGGAAGGCGGCCAAACGCCGCGGTCCGGACGGCGGTTCCGGTCAGGAGCTCCTGACCGGATCATTACTCTATATATATATATATATATATATATATATATATATATATATATATATATATATATATCAGGAATATTCCGGTCAGGAATTTCCTAACAGGAGCCCCGTCC